CAATCCTGTCCAAATATTATTTTGATTGCTTGAGTTTATCACAAGCAAGAAATGGAGCCATTCCATTTTGCCTTTTTTTTTTAAAAAAAAACAAAACAAAACAAAACAAAAAACAAACAAAAAAAAAACCAACCCAAACCACTTGTGTAAGGTTACAGGCTAAATGAGTTATTTACCCCTCTACTAAGAGGACTTTAATTCACCCTTAGTACCAGCAGGAAATGGAATACACTGAATTGCATGATAGAGCCTTCCTATTTAGATTTTTGACTGTCTTCTCCCAAAGAGACTGTAGACATACAGATTTCTGTTTAATTTTTGCCTCAATTGGAAAGTGCACTTAAGAATTCATTTTAGAAAAAGGTCAACAGTTGCCTGCTCTTCAACTTTGTTAAAGAATTGTCAGTTTAAATTTCCAGATTTCAATATTTACAGTTATGCAGTATTTCATAAATTATTCCATTTTTTTTTGTCTATCTGCAAGTCCACCACTATTCTTTGAGATTACTTGTAAAGATTTATTTATTTTTGGATTTGACATTCAATTGACTAACACAGTACAAAAACAGGGCAGAAAATAATTACAAGTTTAAAAAACAAGCAAAAAAATGTCAATAATTGCAGAGCAGACACTGCAGCTACTGGCTGACCTTTAAGAGACTGCACAGTTTTTATTACTTCAAGGTCTTGCTGGCAGGGGTGAGTGTCAGTAGACTAAACCATTACTGCTTCTTTTGTTCCTGCTATTATCATTACCATTAGTATAGTCTTAATCTAAACAGGGATTGCAGAACAACATTGGTTTTGAACCAGGTGCTAGCAGAGGGATGTTTCTCATTATTTTAAAAAAACAGCTTATATTTTTTGCCTGGTAATCTTACTTGTTTCATGATGTTCAAATAAGAACAGAATATATTTAGTCTCGTGCTTTCACAATCAGGAAATTAAGAAGTTACAATTGACAGCAAATATAAGATAAGCCTCATGATTCTGTTGTAGCTTAATGTCCGCAAACTGACTTTTTAGTAAGTGACCAAAAATATGCATTTGGAGTACAAATTACCAAGTTTACAATTTCCCTCCCATTTTTCATCTTATTTTCATTAGTTTTGGGGATAATATATTGAAGATTTCTTTACCTATGCTGAGCCAACTCTAATACTTCCGTCTGGGAATGAAATCTTACTTGGTTTTCTTCCTGCTTAAGACTAAGCAGTTATGTTTTTATTAGTATGGTCTCATGCACTTTCATACACTTTTAATAGCAAACTTAGGTTCGTCTAAATCAAAACATGATCAAAATATGTGACTTAGGTTTTGTGGAAGCTCATTCAAAGTGTTTTGGTGATCTTGTCAGACAGATTACCACAGGCATTTGAATGTGTTTTGATAAGCTCACACTTGTTCTTGAGGCCAAAAGGTAAAAAAAAAAAATAAAAATAACATGTAAGTTGTCTTTGTACATTTTTAAATACTTCTACTTTGCCTTCATCTTAGATATTGCAGTTGACGTTGGTACCATGGTGGGAGTTGCCGTACAAACATTGAAATCACTCCTGGAACTAGTTTACATTGTACAAACTAATCTTTTATGTATCAGTTAGATTCTGTCTGTCTTCAACTATCTGAGAGCAGTTTGTGTATCTGCCGTGCAACTTTTAAGTCTTTTCTAAAAAGAATCATTTGGAGATAGCAGTAGGATTGTTTTCAGAAATTCTAATAAATGTTAATGTTGTGTTAGTAGCACTAATAAGCCTTACAATGAAAAGTATCTTTGATAGATGGAATTTATTCTCTACTTATCAGGGAAAAAAAAAAAGCCGTGTAATCTCTGGAAATTCAAATTAAATTTGAGAATCTCCTTCAGTGTTATAAAAGGAAGAGCACTGGTTTTTAGTACGATTTTTAAAATCTCGTGTGGGACAACAGCAAGTAATATTAAAATGTTGGGATTTTTTATTAGTATTGTTGTCACGGAAGCCAACAGTATTAGGTGATGTACAGGATTTAAAAGTTAGTTTTCTGTGTTTTCTACTTTGTAATTATCTGAAAATGCTACCTACTTTTTGAGAGAACAAAGGGTCTCTTGTATTGCTTGGGCTCAAATATTATCTTGAGTATAAGGTGAAGTATGTTTCAGAATTTGTCTCTCAATGTAAAGAAAACACATCAGCAATTTATGTACAGTAATGTAATCTTTCTGGCAATGCACCATGCATTTAAATTTCCTTCTTTCAAAGTTACTTTGCTATTAGTTTGATACAAAGAGGGAGTGGAATCAGCACAAATAGTGTCAGAACTGTTATTTGGTCCGAGCTTTGAGAAATAATATCGCAATTCCTGTTTATTAATATTTTTCTAAGTAGATGTGTATCTGAAAATTGGAAGCAACATTTTCATGAGTGCTTGTAATTTGCACTCTGTGTTTGGCTGTATGTACATAATGTAACACTGTGTAACAAAATGTTGCATTTTGGTTTTGTGTAGACCTGTACATTACTTTTTAATATGGAGCTTATTTAGGAGTTTTATATCATCCTCACTTTCATTCATCATTTAGAAATGCTTCTTTCCACCAGAACTGGGAATGTTGGCAGGGAATTGCTCATTGACAGAACATACGGATATAAGAACAAACCACTTGTGAACTACAAGGCTTATAAAAATTGGCTGTTGGATCACATTGAAAAAATTTGACTTTGTAAAAATTTATTTATTTACTATTTTCAGTCTGCATCCTTCAGAAGAGAATTGGTTTCAGAACATTTCAGGTTTATTGTAGTCACCCATCCTCAACAAACAATCAAGCTTGCAGTTATGTTCATCAGAAAATTAAGAACACATGCTAATAAAAATCAAGCTGTAGTGAACTTTTATCAGGCAAATTGCTCCCCAAACAAATTCTGTAATAACCCTTTAAAGGCAGCAGCATTTAAACAGGGGTGGATTAGTGTTTGTTTCATGATTTTAAAGTTCTGTGGTGAAACCAGATTCTTCCTGCTCTTTTGGGACTTGTTACTAAATAACCATGTCCCTAGATGAACAGTATGTTATTTTATATTAAAATGCATGGTTGAATTCTAGATTTTATGGTATCTTCTAAGTATCAGACAGGGTTTTTAGCCTGTGTATTAGAAGTGTTCTGTTTTATTTCTCTTTACTTTCTCTAATTGACTGGAGACCTCCCATAGAGAGACTAATGTCTCTAAATGGTAAGAGTGTGTGAATATTTTTTCAGTGGGAGCATGTAATGTCAGGGCCTTGTTCTGTACCCTACAAAGGAATTTTGTTTCTTTCACTATAGAAGATGCTTAAAGAAACCACATCTTAGTAAGTAAGCTCACGGATCATAAGATGTATCAAAAAGTAGTTCTGTGAACAATATATGTGACATATTTCAGTTTGAGTACTAGAAAGTCATGGTTTTCTTTTGAAAAATATTAATCTGCCAGCATGAAGTTTTCTACAGTAGAAGATTCATAATGGACACTGAGTGTAACAAAATGCTGTTTAAAATATTAATGAGAAGACAAGAAGAAGGTGACAGTAAAATACTTCCTGGACTGAGTTCTATCACAGAAGTGAAGCTTGTGGAGACTGAGGGCTGTAGTATGACTTGATTTGGAAAAGTTATGGTTTTGTGGTTTGGATTTTTTAATGAACATATTCTGTATACTGTGGCCACTGAGACAATAAATCTTCTGGGGGTGGAGATATTGAAGGGAAGGCGCCATTTTTCCAGCCAATTCTGAGCAGAACTAAACCTTCAGCTCTCTTCCATAACGTATCAATCAAAAATATGGAGATAGGTCAGAAAGACAAACCAAAAATATTAATAAGACTTTTTTCTTGATTTCCAAATATGTATGAAGCTTTTAATGTGAGGTGCCTTCCCTCATGTATTCTGCATTTTAGGAAGAGAAAATTAGATGCCACCCTGTAGCATTATTGAGTCTGCCAGAATATATTATATATTTTCTTTTTCTCCCTCCATCTGCACCACCCCCGCCCCCCTGACTGAAATCTTAGCTAAGCCGGGATTGATCTAGGACAGTAAAAACTTATAGCTCTTGGCTTTCTGCCAGCGCTCATGTTAAAACACTTATGGAATTAATGATAAATTTCTTGTACAACAGTCTTTTTATGTCTTGATTCACTAGACTGAGCGTAGGAGGTAAACATCAATGGTAAATAACAAAGTGACTACTTCAAAGAGCTGCCACATGCCTTATATTTTCACAAGTTGTTATCAACTTGAAATGTTGAGTCAGATAAACCACTTTTCCTTCTGATATATATCATGGCTATTTGCAAAAGCTGAAGTCATCTTTGTGTTCATGCAAAGTTTCTTATTGCCAAAGTCCATAGAGATTTTACAGGGTTTTTTTTAAAGAGCTGTTCTATTACGTATTTTAATGTCTGTGAATACCATGTTCCTTAGACGTTCCACAGACTTCATGAAGAATATAAGGTTAGGTAGAATATAAAGCTATGTAGCTGTATTAGCTGTCGGCTCCAGTAGTTGTTTTATACGAACCCATATGCTAGAAGAAACTAAATCTTTTTTTCCTACATCATTGTCACTTCCAATGATGAAATGATGTGAAGAGAATGTACAAGGCACCACTTTGAAAATGAGTTTGTCCTTATTTTGACTGCAGAATTTAAACAACACAAGAAAATACACCTTTTCCTATGTCTAGTCCTGCTTAATGAGGACCACATTGTCAAATTGTATACTATGTGCATTTTGACTAAAGAAATGTAGTCATAAAGTTCATGTTGAATGAGATGTTACCTTTATAAACTTTGGCTCTTTTTCATTAATATGCAAGTTTAGTCTGTAATTTTCGAACTGTTTGTAAGGTTCTAATTAGTCTCTAGAGAACTCTTGTGGACAATAGGTTGCTCATTAGTCTATCAGCTTTCCGTGAAGTTGGTTGGCTATTTCTCATGTCTAATGTGGAAACTGAAATGATGCGTGTTAATTTGCCTTCCAGATGTTGCAACTGCCTGTCCAGATAAGAAGTCCATATTAATGTACGTGACTTCCCTCTTCCAAGTTCTGCCCCAACAAGTCACCATGGAAGCCATCAGGGAGGTGGAGATGTTGCCACGACACTCAAGGGTCACTAGAGAAGAGCACATACAAGTACATCATCAACAGCGTTTTTCACAAGAAGTGAGTTGTTTCACTTTTCTGCTTTCATCTTGCTGCTCTAAAGTGGTTGTTTCCCTTACCCACCCTGTAAGTTTCATATTAGATGGCCAATGTAAGGAAAAAAACATGGACGTAATGGACAAAGACTCTTCCCCACAAACAAGTCAAATGTACTTGTCCGCATTAAATTTACTTTTGTGCTGCTTTTCACCTTGCGCCAGGCTGTTTTAAAAGTCACTATTCAGCAATTAAGTGCTTTGCACTTCTCTTTTACAGCACGGGGGGTTTTGATTGCGCGAGGGCACCATGAGGAAAAACACAGAAATGGAGGAGGTTTTACATTTAAACACAGACATGTAGAAATATCTTTTACTTTTTTTTAGAGAATAGCAGTTGACATTTCTCCATATTCATGACACATTTTTAATTTTTTAGTATTTTATTTAAGCTGATTTGTATTTTAAGATCACCTATTCTCGGCTAATGGTTGGCCTCTCTGAAAGCTCATATAATACTTGGAATTAATTTATGCTTACTATGTCAGTTATGTTTTTGACTGAAATCATCAGTCTTTGCTGAAGTGTTTAGTGGATTTTAGGCCTAGTGTACTTCTCTGAATTTGAACTGTTACTTGCTTTTGGGATGCTCGGTCTCTTTCAAAAGAGTACTGAGCAGATGAGTATTGGCTCTGTTTATTCAGGATGTACCAGCAGATCACTTGTTTTTTGAGCCTTTGCTTATAAATGATAAAACCACTTCAATTTACATTGATATTCTGCTGGTATTGAGTCCTGACAGTTTGTTACTTTTGGAAAGGATGTCAGATTAAATGAGAGTTTTCCTTATACCACTCAAATTTTCACTGCTGAATACCAACACTGTCCTTGAAAAATATAACTGGTGATGACCTTCCTACTACTTTTTCTTCACTTACTCTTAAGTGTAAGTTACTTCTATAATACATGCTCCTATCCATGTGTCTGTTCTTTCCACCTCTAATATCTTCTTCATAGATCACAGTCAATGTACCCCAGGGACCTTCACCTTCTCCTAAACCACGGTTCAAAAGTTACGCATATACACAGGCTGCGTATGTCACATCCCCTGACCAAAAAAGGAGGCAGGTTCCTCCACAGGTCTGTCAATATTGTCGTTTGTTTTAAAAACTGTTTTATTAAGCTTGTGCTTGGAGTGAAAGATTTTGCTTATACCTGCTTTTGATGACCTACTTTTTCCAGGGTTGTTTTTAGCATCTGTCAAGTGGTTACTTTTTACTGTGTATTTCAGCATGGCCGGCCATAGGTGTTATGCTGATTGTTAGGGATGAACAGCATTCAAACACTGCTATTTTAGAATTATAAACTGCTTCCTTTGTTAAGTCATTTTTCAAAATAGTACATATATTGCCTTAAAAGAGTATTAGCAGAACAAAACAAACATAAGTTGTATTTGGCATGTAATTATTATGTTTGTGTCTCAGGTTTGATTATAGAAAAGAAAACAAACAGTGGTTTTCTCTTGCTTTTCCTAACCCTCATATCTATTAAAGAAAAGAGTAAGTGGTGATGTTTCTTAGAAGGTTACTGTAGTTGGAAAAAAAAGAAAGGAAACATGAAATTTAATACTTTTTATATGACCTGGAATATTAGATTATAACAGGTGGTTATTTTGTCACAAATGGCAACATGTCAACATTCAGATTTGGGTTTTATGTTTGGTTCTTTGACTTTTAAATAGCTGTGGTAGTTTAATAGAAGTTGTTTCAAGCAATCCTTATAATGAGCATTTCAGTAGTTGGATTTTTATACCATTTGACACATGTGGGAGCCAAAGGTCATATTGTGTAATGCAATGTGCCTTCCTTTCATTGCTTCATCTCTGGGTAAAAGAGATCTGCATGTATTTGGCGCTACGATATGAGTTTGCTTGTGGAGACTTAATTGTGTCTAATCTCTAAAAATTTATTGCAAAATTACACTTCAATTCTCCAGCATGTTTCTGAATCTAGTCTTCAAGTGACTGGTATTTTACTGAATAATGACTTCCTTTAAATACTCGAGGAAAGAAATCCTGTGCACTAGGCATGAGCCCTGCTACATTATACTAACATCAAATGTGTTGCAGTGATGATTAATACATCTTTAAACAAGGTATTTAAAATTGGTGTAATTGATTTCTTCTACTTAGATACTGCACTGATAATTGAGAAGAATTAAGAGTCATGATATAGCTTTTTTTCTTGAGCTACTTTTATTGTGATTGATTGTGGGTTTTGTCAATAACGCCACCATCAAGTGTAATGTACACACTGATGTAATTGTAATTTCTACAAAACGTAGTTATTAAAATGTATTTAGAAAATATCTTTCTATTATTCAGTCTTCATGTTCTATTCCAATTTTCAGATCTCATCTTCCTGAATTTGGAAGCTTTGTCTAATACACTTATGCAACAACTGCTATGATAATATTATAATTCTGCCGATTTGGCAGAATCTGAAGATTTAATTGGAGTTTGGCTCTGTTGTGCTAGAGCCACAACAAATATTAACAAATGAAAAGCATTGACTTGAAAGTCCTAAGTTAAAATCACCAGACACAGTCTCATTGTAATCAAAATAAACTTGAATTGCAAATAGTACCAATTAATATGCCAATTCAATATATGATATTCTTAATCAGTGGCAATTATGTTTTTTGCCTCTACCCATGTATTTATTGAAGAACAGTCATCATCTAACTATTAAAACAAATTTATAATCCTGGTAAATTTGTGGTTGATATTATTTTCTCTAGATATTTGAAGCCACTGTATCTTAATAATCCCATCTATTTCAACTAAATCAAATAAATCAATTATAGAATCATAGAATGTATTGGGTTGGAAGGGAACTCTAAAGCCCATCTAGTCCAACCCCCCCTACAATAAGCAGGGACATCTCTAACTAGGTCAGGTTGCTCACAGCCCCATCAAGCCTGACCTTGAATGTCTCCAGAGATGGGGCTTCCGCTACCTCTCTGGGCAGCCTGTTCCAGTGATCCACCACCCTCATATTAGAGAACTTCTTCCTAATGTCCAACCTAAATCTACCCTTTTCCAGCATAAAACCATTACCCCTCATCCTATCACTACAAAACCTTGTGAACAGTTCTTCCCCTGCCTTCCTATAGGCCCCTTTCAGGTATTGGAAGGCTGCTATAAGGTCTCTCTGGAGCTTTCTCTTCTCCAAGCTGAACAACCCCAACTCTCTCAGCCTGTCCTCATAGCAGAGGTGCTCCAGCCCCCTGATCATTTTCGTGGCCCTCCTCTGGACACATTCCAACAGGTCCACATCCTTCTCGTGTTGGGGGCTCCAGAGCTGGATGCAGTACTCCAGGTGAGGTCTCGCCAGGGCAGAGTACAGGAGCAGAATTAACTCTCTTGATCTGTTGGCTACACTTCTTTTGATGCAGCCCAGGATATGATTGGACTTCTGGGCTGCAGTTGCGCATTGGTGGCTCATGTCCAGCTTTTCACCCACTAGTACCCCCAAGTCTTTTTCCACAGGGCTACTCTCTAGCATGTCTTCTCCCAGACTGTATTGACACCGTGACACCGGCAGTTGCCCCAGTCCAGGTGCAGGACCCTGCACTTGGCCTTGTGGAACCTCATGAGGTTCACCTGGACCCACCTCTCCAGCCTGTCCAGGTCCCTCTAGATGGCATCCCATCCTTCTGGCATATTGACTGCACGACCCAGCTTGGTGTCATCCACAAATTTGCCGAGGTGCACTCAATGCCACTATCAGTATCATTAATGGAAGTATTAAACAACACTGGTCCCAGTATGGACCCCTGAGAGACACCACTTGTCACCATTTTCCATCTGGACATCGAGCCATTGCCTGATACTCTCTGGATGTGACCATCCAGCCAGTTCCTTATCCACTGAACAGTTCACCCATTGAACCAATATCTCTCCTACTTAGAGAGAAGGATGTTGTGGCAGAACTGTGTCAAAGGCCTTGAAGAAATTCAGATAGGTGACTTCCGTAGCTCTTCCCTTGCCCACTGATGCGGTCACTCCATTGTAGAAAGCTACTAGGTTGGTCAGGCAGGACTTGCTCCTAGTAAAGCCATGCCGACTGTCTTGAATCACCTCCCTGTCCTCCATGTGCCTTAGCATATCTTAGCATAACAGGAGGATCTGTTCCATGATCTTCCCAGACACAGAGGTGAGGCTGACAGGTCAGTAATTCCCAGGGTCCTTCTTTCTACCCTTTTTAAAAATGGGCATAAAGTTTCCTTTCTTCCAGTCACCAGGGATTTCACCTGACTGCCATGACTTTTCAGATGTCAAGGAAAGTGACTTGGCAACTGCATCACCCAATTCCCTCAGGACTCTGGGATGCATCTCATCAGGTCCCATGGACTTGTGTATGTTCAAGTTCCTCAGATGGTCACAAACCTTGTCTTCGGTTATGGCGGGAGGGACTTTGTCTCCCTGCTTTTTAAATATTATTTCCTTTTCAATTCTTAGCAGCCTTCCAATTTCCTGCCAGATACATTATGATTTTTGAATACCATTATTGGTATTGAAACTGCCTGTAGGATTTTCAGTAAAATCTACTTCTCTAGGGGACTGCAATAAAGATATCAAAACAAAAACAACTTTTTTTTTTTCTTGGATTTTGTAAAATTTAGGAAACTCTGTCTCATTTCCATCTAGTTATCAAAGAAAAATTTCAGTAGATTTAGTTTACTGTAGTCTGCCCGTTACAATGTTATCTCAGGTGCTGTTATTGAGAAGCAAGATTTTCACTATGTTGGTCTTCTGTTGAAATGTATGAGTCATTTTTTACTTTTCATATCTCTGCAAACTTTCATCTTACAGGACTTGAATGTTATAATTTCCCCAAGATAATCAAAGATGGTATATATCAACTATCAACAAAAAAGTCTTTCACCTGCTTCTCTCTAGAGGTTCTAGCTGCTACAATTGATCTTAAATGTCATAGTATTTAATTGGGTGAAATTTTTAAAGTTCCGTATTTGGAAGAATGGTCCAATAGTTTTGTACATCAAGCGTGACCCAACTGGAACTCAGAAGAAAAATAAATTAAATAAGAACCCTTTCCAAAAATTTTGAATTTTATCCTGCAAATTTGACCATATATGCCATATATTTACTGCATCTATCCATTGTCATAAATTGTGAAAATGAAATCAGCTACGATTTACTGAGGTCCGTATTGGCAAGAAGAAATAATATTTCCTCTTACACCACCATCTGTCAAAGTCCTTTCCCTTCTACGCTTGTCTATTCTTCTATGTCACATTTCACAAGAGGCAATGGGTGCAAGCTGGAGCACAGGAGATTCCACACTAACATAAGCAAAAACTTTTTCACTGTGAGGGTGGCAGAGCACTGGAACAGGCTGCCCAGAGAGGTTGTGGACTCTCCTTCTCTGGAGACATTCAAAACCCGCCTGGACATGTTCCTGTGTGACCTGCTCTAGGTGGTCCTGCTCTGGCAGGGGGGGTTGGACTAGATGATCTTTCAAGGTCCCTTCCAACCCCTAACATTCTGTGATTCCCCATCTTCACCCTTCCTAATACCTTCACAACCTGTGTATCTTTAAATTCCCCCTTCATTTCTGAATTATTCTGTTTGTGACTCAGAAGTGTACTTGCAAAGCCTAGAATTTTAGTTTCACAAGGTTTGGACAGACAAGTTTTGCTTTGCTTAACTGTGACACATCTCGGATTCAAAGAAAATTATTGTTCTGCCAACCTGTTCACTTGGTGCCACCTTATTGTTTGGTCTGTGCTTGACGACTACTGGTTGACGCAGTCAAACCTTTTTACATGCTATTGTTAACATGAATAGCAGTTTTTCTGCTAGTGCTCACGAGAAGTTTTCCTCCTTTACCTTGTTTACTTAGAAAGTGTTCATAAATTCATGCAGACCTTAGGACAGGAATCCACTTCTCAAGCCTGAATCTTTGTATTCCCTGTATTAACATTAAGAAAGGGCCAAGAGCAAATATTTATGTTGACAGGTTTCAGATGGCAGTAACTGCTCAGTAATTACAGAAGGCTTGCCTGACTTTGCAGCTCTGTTTTGGTTGTTGTTGGTTGTTTTTTTTGTATCCAGT